GAGGTCGCTAAGAAAGGTCTACCAAAGATCATGGGAACAGTAGCATCCTCCTCTATATCCAAGATAACAAAGTCCATCGGGAAGATGAACTTGTCCACCTTAACAAGTATGTCCTCTATTACTCCATATGCTTGCTTGGTGGAGCGGTCAGCTAGTTGTAGAATCATATTGATCGGTTTCACTTCTGTGATTTCCAGCTTCTTCATCATAGATAATGGCATTACGTTGAGGCTGGCACCTAAATCACATAAAACTCTCTCTATTGTCATCGAGCCAATCGTGCAAGGGATACTAAAACTCCTTGGATCCTTTAATTTCGGAGGTAAATTCTTATGCGTGATTTCACCACACTCCTCTGTCAAAATAGTGGATCCTTCTACTGTGAGTTTCCACTTCTTGGTTAGGATCTCTTTTAGAAACTTAGCATATGATGGCATTTGCTCTAAAGCTTCCGCAAAAGGGATATTTATGTGCAGCTTCTTAAAAATCTCTAAGAATTTAGAGAAATTTTTCTTCTGTTCGTGCTGCTGTAACCTCTGAGGATAAGGAGCCTTAACATACAGGTTATCCCCCAACGCTTTCATTCTTTCTTCTAAAGAAGGCTTCTTTATTACTTTTTTATGTGGGGTGTCATTTAATGGTCCTCCAATAATTGTGACATCTCTATCGACATGATCATCAACTTTTTCTTCAGCAGGATTTTCCTTCTCTGCATCTTTTTCACTACTCGGTGCAGCTATTGGTATTTCCACACTTTTCCTTGTAATGATGGCATTACATTGTTCCTTGGGATTAATAATTGTATTACTAGGAAAGGTTCCTGGAGGCCTCTCAGTCATCTGTTTGGCAAGCTGACCAATTTGAATTTCCAGATTCTTTATGGAAGCTTCTTGATTCTTTAAAGATGCTCTCGTTTCTTCTGCGAAATTTGTTTGAGACTGGGCCATCTTTTCGAATGCAACTTCCCATGCGGCCTTCTGACTAGGTTGGGCTTGTTGGAAATTCATATTATTTTGTTGGGGCCCATTTTTATAGGATAGACCAAGATGATTCCTTCAGCTCGAATTGTACGTATTTTCATAAGGATTTTCTCTCTTCTGGTTATTCCAGATTCCATTAACCTGAGCTGGATCAATCGTTACCATAGTGTCACAATTTTCAGGAGTGCGTGGTCCACCACAAGTATTGCAAACTACAGGAAATTGCGAATTAACCGCAGAGATTTGATTTTGGGTAAAGAGTTTAACAAGTGAATCTAACCTTTGATCCATCTTGTCTTGTTTGGCTAACATAGCGTCGTACCCTTCTAACTGCAAAACTCCTTTCTTAGGTTGAACTGGTGTGACCTCATTATCTTCAGATGCCATCTTCTCAATTAGCTCAACAACCCTTGTGGGAGTGATTTCTCTGATACTCCCTCCAGCTGCAGGTTAAGAAGTACTCGATAAGTCAGAGTAACTCCTTTGTAGAAAATTTGGACCTTCTCGCCATTAGATAAAACGTATTGGGGACATCTCCTGATTAGTTCTTTAAATCTTCCCCATCCTACGCACAAAGATTCGCCTTCGAGTTGCTTAAAGTTGTCAATTTGTTCCTTCAACTCAGAGAATCGAGATAATGGGAAGAACTTCTTTTGGAATTTCTCAACCAATTCTTCCCACGTGAAGATGCTATTAGCAGGTTGCAATTCCAGCCAATTAAGTGATCTTCCTTTTAAAGAAAAGGGAAACAGCAGCAAACAGATTTCTTCAGGCGGAACCCCATTAGCTTTAATGAGGCTACACAATTGTAAGAATTTAGTGATGTGGCAGTTTGGGTCTTCGATCGGGTCTCCTTCAAAAAGATTAGTTTGAATTAGATTCAGGAAAGAGGCTTTTATTTCAAAATTATTGGCCTGAATTTGAGGTCTCCTAATACTCGCAGTCGGATGCGAGAAATTAGGGTTTAAGAAATGACTCATCAGTTCTTCGGGTGGATTTTGGTTATCTTCGGCCATAACTGGTCTTTCCGCAGAATTGGAGCTCGATGCTTCTCGTGTCTTCCTTACGGTCAAACGTTTCCTATTTGTTCTTTCTAAACGTCCTAACTCTGGTTCGTACTGTAGGTCACTGGGATTAACAGTGCCTTGCAGATCCATAAACCAGAAAACTAAGGCTCAGTGGACAAACTAACGGAAACCACTAACTAAACAAAAAAAATTAAAATTTAAAGCAGACAAATTAAAATAAAATAACAAAACTAATTAAACTAAATAACAATAAAAACAATAAAATACTAACATCAAAATAAATAACAATAAAATAAAATGATCCAATCTATAATTTGATAAATAAAATTAATGTTGATTAAATCAGTCCCCGACAACGGCGCCAAAAACTTGTTGACGAACTCGGCAAGTGCACCGGTCGTACAAGTAATAAAGTGATAAGAAAGTTGTCGATCCCACGAGGATTGATGACCAAGCAATAATATATTTATTTAATTAAAGTTGGATCGATCATTAAAGGTTTTCTTGAGAATATCGTGATTTAATTAAAAGCAGAATTTGTAAAACTATTTTTGATTTTTAATATTTTAGAAATTAAATTCAGAATTTAGAATACTAGAAACTGAGTTTAGATTTTTAATAAAAAGGCGTAATTATGATTCAACTTCCCCAATGGTTTCTTAACGAGTTTGCATATTCTTACGATTACATTCAAGATTAAATTATTAACAGCTCTTTCTATAATTGACTAAATCCCAATCCCTTGGTAATTTAATTCTTTATTCTAATCCAAAGCCTAATCCCTTAGTACTCTTTCATAAAATAAGCATTAACGCGAGAACTCACAGTTATAAAATTCACAAGTCTATCCCTAGATCATGCAAATTCTAGCAATCAACCAATCAGAATCATACACCAGCATCCCTATTGTCATATATGACTCATATGTTTATCTACGAGTGATCAAGTCATAAATAAAACTAAGTATGAATATCAGATTGATTGCACAATTTAGAAACAAGAATGTAATTCATAAGAATAAACAAACATCAACTAAGAACCCATTGGTTCTGTATCTTCCTAACTACTAAAATAATTTAGCTACTCATAATTATAAAGGCAGAATTGAAATAAACAGTAAAAGAAATTGAGTTCATGATAAACTTGTCTAAAAGTGATGATCAATGATGTAGAAGTGCTTCCTTCCTTCTCCTCTGCAACGATCCAGTGTTTTCTTCCGCTCCTTCCTTTGCTTCGTCTCGGTCTCTGACTCTTCCTTCGCGTTTTAGAGTTCTCTTTCACGGCTTCCTTCGCTTCTTATTTAAAGCGAGCTGCTTAGCGAGCATTACTTTTGTTGGTCGCTCCATCGGTCGCTTGTGTGAAGACCTTAGCGAGCTGCTCGCCCACTTGCTCGCTTTAGCGAGCAGTGGAGCGAGCGTTACACTTTTTATTTTATTTATTTATTTAATTCCTGATTTTCCCATTGCTCCGCGGATTCCACTGTTGTCTCGTCCTTATCATATTAGCACTTTTTTATTCTAGTTTCAACAACCTGAAACAACAACAAATATTCAGAATCTTCTATTTGTTGACAATTCATTTTGCTTTACTGTTTTATTGTTTTAACACTATATTTTTAAATATTTTAATAATTATTTGAACTCTTTTTAACCATATAAACATAGTATTTTGGACACTCATCACCCTCATATTCCACTCTCTTCCTACAGCCATCCAGAATGCACTCCCCTCTTAGGGGCTTGGATAGATCAATCTCTATACAAACCCTTGCAAACCGAGCCCTATCTCCAGTTGAAGTGGTTTTATCCACTTTAAGAACTTTACCAATCACTGTTCCTAAATGATTTAGGAAAGGAAATTCACAGTACTCTTGAAGAATACCTGGAAGACGAACCCAGGCTGCTACCTTATGGATATTCGCCCTATCCGAATCGAAGCATGGCTCCCATTTTCTGGTAGCTAGGTAGTGACCCAGGATAACCCACGGACCTCCCGTTATGGCTAGATTAAGGTCTTCCAAGCTGCTGTATCTTACAGAGAAGAACTTATTACCAAGATCAGCCATTGTTATGCTTCCAGCCCTAGCCCAAAGAGACTCTAGCTACTTCTTCATGAATCCAACACCGATTTTCTTCCCCAAAAGCTTCACTATCAATGCATTCTTCCAACGCTGACGCATTCTAGCTCTAGTTTCTCTATTACTTCTAATTTCCACAGATCCATCCTCCCTGATTATAGTTTGGAATCCCCATTCTTTTATCTCTCCCAAATTCGGGTCTAGAGGTTCCAGCTCTGGTTCCTCTTCCTCAATTAACCAGGGAATAACATCACCTGAAACACCATTTTCCACACCTGTAACTTCAGCGAAGGATCTCTATTTCTCGTGCACAGCCTCACTAGATTGGAACTCCTTAATCACATCTCTCATCTGTGCTTCCATTGGAATTTCTTCCCCACATTTTGTTCGCTTCGTACTCTTCCTAGATATAGACAAAGTCTCATTGCTACTTACCTTCGTATCCCCCGTGGATCCAGCACAAAATCTCAAAAATAAAACCCTAGCAGAAGAAAAATTTTCGCGCGCGTGCACATACGCGCCTAACCCATCTTTTAAGTGATGACGAGGAATTTTTTTGTAGAACAAACTTTTAACCCAAATATGGAATAGGATATTGTGACAACCAAATAATGTTACTACCAATGATACTACCACATCTTAACCGTTGATTTCCTCCGATCAACGATTATCATTTTTCAAATCAAACTCATTAATTAATTATTAATTCGCAATAAATGATAACCGTTGATTGGCGGAAATCAACGGTTAAGATGTGGTAGTAACATTATTTGGTTGTCACAATATCCTATCCCCAAATAATAGTTAAGTCATGACCTCAATTTTTTATTTTTTTATTTTGACTAAATAATTAATAGTTATTCTTAATTATTAAAAACTGTTGTTATATTGTTGTAGGTTAAGATCAAAGAGTAGTAGTAGAAGAAGAAGAAGAGTGGTTGCGAGGTGAATCGAAGAAAAGGAGAATAACAATGTTCAGAAACCAGTACGACACGGACGTGACGACATGGAGTCCGGCGGGGAGGTTGTTCCAGGTGGAGTATGCGATGGAGGCAGTGAAACAGGGTTCCGCCGCAATAGGTCTCCGATCCAAGACTCACGTGGTTTTGGCGTGCGTCAACAAGGCTAATTCCGAACTTTCCTCTCACCAGAAGAAGATCTTCAAGGTTGCCGACCACATCGGCGTCGCCATCGCCGGCCTCACCGCCGACGGCCGCGTTCTCTCCCGTTACATGCGATCCGAGTGCATCAACTACAATTACACCTACGAGTCTCCGTTTCCCGTCGGTCGACTCGTCGTTCAGCTCGCCGACAAGGCTCAGGTCAGTCACTACTCTTCTCTTCATCACTTTGGTTCTTGCAATTGGAGCTAGGTTTTTGTTCTTCACGAAAAAAAACAAAATATTAGGTTTTCTAAGATATTAGAGTATGTGATGGACAATGATTGGAATGAGACTAGGACTGCAATATTTAATTTCGATGTTACTTGTGGTTTTTTTTTTTTTTTTACTTGTGATCTTAATTAGCTTGGTGATTTTCGTGGGGGAATTTTAAGTGATTCTATCTGGGTGAGAAATACTGTGATGACGTTTGGATCTGTCTCTTCCTTCTGAATTTTTATAAATTTTTGAAGAGGTGTGTTAGCTCAGTTAGTAATTTTCTGAATGCTGACTTAATAATGTTTGGTTTCTAACACTGCTAACATTGATTGAGTCAGTTATGAAGAAATTACTTTTGAGCTTCGTGATGTTATTTGGCATCACCTATAGTCTTATATCAGATAGGCAGTAGTGAGACAATAGTATTTTGTATCCTCGTGTGCAGCTTTTTTTCTTTCTTACCTGAAATTTTCTACTTTGTAAGTATTGATAAAGTGTAAAAGCTGTCTTTACTGGGACTGTTTGCTAATTTAGGTTTTCTCGAATTTATGTGATTTAACTATGTTGTATTTGTTCAATTGGGAAGAATTCATTCTTCTCTATGAATACCAATATGAAACGGCTGGAACTGTGTACAGATTTGTTTTAAATCCAAATTGTCTGTGTTTTGTATTTGGATGTACTTGTAATGGACCTCAGAACTTTTATCCTTTCAAGGTTTTGAGGATGTTCATGTATTAGGGAAGCTATGGGGCATGATTCACTGAGCATTGTAGTGAGTTATAGGAATTAAATAGGGTAAATAACATAGATCTCCCTTGAGGTTTGGTAATATTACAACTAACCCCATTCTTATCTCAAACTCTGCTGCAGTTAATGGATGACACTTGAGATGGTGTTTGTGTGGGTCAGTTATGATAACCACACCTAACTAATCTCACCCTTTTATGGTTACCAATTTGGGCGGGAATGATGAAGAGACAATTCAGTCTCTTCATCTGATCTTCATTTAATGGGTGCAAACCAGGCATGGGATGTAGAAATAAGGACCAGTTCACGGAGAAGAAAAAGAGAGGGCGTGTAGTGTGACTGAGGAAGGTACAAGGGAATGTTTGACTAAGAAAGGGGAGAGGTGTGTGGTGCGAGACTGTGTTTTTATTGTGTGTGTTCTGTGTTTTGTTGAGGAAGAGTGAGTGATAACTACTCAGACCCATTGGTGAAGCGTAGCATCTTTTTCTTCATTTGTTGTGTCTGAATCTGATTGTAAACAATAGTAAATTATGCAAATTGACACAAGCCAAATGGTATATATCAAATGAATTTAAAGCAAAGATATTTCAAGCAAGCAAGGATGTGTTGTGACTTCTGTGGCTAGAAGAGAATACATACTAGTTCATTCAAAGGCTTTCAATCTGATTGAAAATTATTGTAACGAGTAAGGATATTCTTACTGCCAAGTTTTTCTACTACCAACTTACTACCACTTTAATATAACTATGTACTATGGGGAGTACATTAAAAGTTGTTTTTCTTTTCTCTCTCTTCAGAAACTTTCCAGAGATTGTCGGCTAAAAAGTGGGATCCAACGGTGATTAGAGTGGTAGTAGAAAAAATGGGTAGTAAGAATATCCTACTTCTTATTAAACATGATTAAAAAATTAGCCCTAAATCCTGTAGATGAGTCGGTCATTACTCATTATATCTAGAAGTGCATCCATTGAGGAGTAGTTGTGTATCTTCAATGAAAATAAACCCCATAAAGTTATAAAGGCTTCAGAATACAAACTACATGAAAAACGAAATTCATGTTGGCCTAAGCCTAACCTAGACTTTGTTAGATGGTTTTCCTTCATTTGGTTTAATTAGATGGTTCTTCTTTATCTACACCAACTAGCTAGCTCTACGTAATTGTGTGGCCCAGAAATGGGTAATGCTTTATCAGCTCTTATTACACTCAGGAAAGCAGTCCTATAACAATAAATTAGGGTATAGTTAAAAATATGGTGAAACCAGAAACCAAATCCATTGCAATGACTACATTTGATGCAGGTCTTGTGATAAATGATACCATCAGCTGATAAAATGTCGATAAAGTGAACAGTTTTTTTGCAAACCTTAAATTTCTGTTAGAACCTGCTGAATGCCATTCTTGTCTTTGCTTTTCTCAGCTGGTACAATGTAATATCAAATCCACAACATTGGTGTTTGTTATATGATCCCATCTTAAGTCTGTCTAGCAAGCTCTCTGCAACATATTAATTCCCAGCTTCATAATCAATGGTTTTGACAAAATACCGGGGACAAGGTATGAGACATGCCATGGAAGAGTTGGCACTTACCTTCCCTCCAAACCACCACCTAAATCCTGGATTATGTCTTCAAAGCAAACCATGATGAACACTAATTGATGATTTAATAGGATTAAAGGTTGAATCCGCTATTGGTTATGCCCATTTTTTCTCGCTTTAGATGGTTGCTGTTTTTATGGGTGTATGTGGATGACCAGCCATTCAATGGTCATCTCTATCAGTAGTCATCTGTTAACCTTAGTTAACTGATAATATTCTGTTAGAATATTTTCAGACATCAGTCAGTGCCGACCATCAAATGGGGTGGAGTGTAATATTGGGACAAGAACGAGATTAGTTGTTATATTTCCAAACCTCTAGGAGTTCTCTGTTATTTATCCTAAAATGCTTCCTCTTTTGTGATTGTGGGAGTGGCCCAGGGTCCAATTTGAATAGCTTATTGAGCCCCCAAGGTTTCTATTTACTGTGAGAGAATTCCTGAATCATACATTTACGTCTAAAACTTTCCAAGTTATGTATCTAACGGTGTCACTGTCATAGTTATTATGTCATGCAAATCTATACTGAGGTAGGGATTTTATGAAATGAAGTGGAGCACAGATTATTGGTCTATTGAAGTCAACTAACTTGCTTGCAAAAGACCTAGTTGAATAGGATTCAAGTTATCTCACGGTTTAAGTTCATCAAAGAAATATGAAATCTATATTTGACTCGGATTTTTTTCTGGGGCTGAGATCTTTCAGTAGATAGGGACCAAAAGTATGCTGAACAGAACATAGAAATAACACCCCGGCCCCCCTCCTCTTTTTTTACATTCTTAAATGTACTTACTTTATGCTAAACTGATCTGTTTAATTTTACAATGGTTAAAAAAGTTGGGTTAGTTAGTCTGCGCTTTTTAATGACATACAGTTATACATGTGTTTTCGTAGTAGGAAGTTGAATGGATGGGGTATGGGAAACAAAGCTTGTGATTTTATGTGCAGAATTACATGGCAAAAAAAGAAGTATTTGCAGAATTTATTAAAACAAAAAAGATCTCGTTCTCATCCGTATTTGTGATGCAATTTTGAGTGGCAGGTTTGCACGCAGCGATCATGGAAACGTCCTTATGGGGTTGGTCTCCTTGTAGCTGGATTAGATGAATCAGGAGCTCACCTCTATTACAACTGTCCGAGTGGAAACTATTTTGAATATCAGGCATTTGCAATTGGGTCTCGCTCACAAGCAGCAAAGACATATTTGGAACGTAGGTTTGAGAACTTCACGGGCTCCTCGCGGGAAGATCTGATCAAAGATGCACTAATTGCAACTAGGGAGTCCTTGCAAGGTGAAAAGCTCAGGAGTTCCGTATGCACTATTGCTGTGGTTGGAGTTGGTGAGCCATTCCACATTTTGGACCAGGAAACTGTTCAACAGTTGATTGATGCTTTTGAGATTGTGAAGGAGGAAGAAGTTCCTCCTGCTGAACCTCAGCCTGCAACTGAGCAGGATGCTGCCACAGATCAGGATGCTGCCACAGATCAGAGTGCGGGCGCAGATCAAGGTGCTGCTGAAACCCAAGGTGGTTCTCCGATGGACATTTGATAATTATAGATCCAGCACTAGACATGTTAAAAACAGATATTTAAAGATGAGTAGGTTTCAAGTTGAGTGTGTCATTGGCAAGATATCTCATGGATTTTCTTATCTTAATCTTGTTTGTTTCTGCAATTAATCCATGGCCGGTAATTGCAAACGTTTAATGGACTTGAACGCATGGTTTTCAATATGCTACAAGATACAATCTCTACTAAAATTCAGGATGAAAAATGTTGGGAAAACCGGTTGTTGAGCTAACTATTGTCATGAGTAACATTATTTCTTGAATTTTGAAAAATTGGCAAGGCTATGGTACAAAATGTGATAACTTTTGCGTAAATTTTTGTTCTATTAATATTACTCTTTTCTTTTTTTCTTTTTTTGGTTGGTGTTTGGAGGATCTACAAGTGAGGTGTGCTCTGGGACAAGTCCATAGAGGATTTTAAGGGAAACGGAATCGAAAAAAAAGATGAAATGTGCAAAGAGTTTAAATTTGTGCATTTTTTTTAGCTGCTTTAAGAGAGCAAGCTTGAAAAATTACTTTTCGTATGAAGCAACCACGAGTAGATGTGTTAAAATGGGCTTAAGCCAGTGAGGCAGCTCGTAAAATTCTATATTTGGTCTTAACCCATTAGGGTTTTTTTATGACAGGGTTTTTTTTAATCTTAACTTTCAAAGCCCCTATAATTTAACGTGTTAAGTTAAGGTTGGCTTCCGAGCTAAATTTTTTCTTTCATCAAAATTTTTATTATTTAAAAAATTAAAAACTATATAAATTTAAATATTTATAAATATAAAATGAATTATAAACATAAAATAAGTAAAAAAAATTGTGAATTTGATGGAGAATATAAGAGAGTGAAATATGAAAGAAAGGAAAATGAAGTATAGCAAGAAAATCAAAGGAAGAATAAGATAAGAACATGAAATATTATTATATTCTGAATTCACTAAATATCACTTTTTTCATCTAAGCTATGTCCTTACGTAGAACTCTAAACATAATTAGGGGAATAATCACAATTCAACACATCATTAGTGTGACGGTTGTAAAATACGATCATGAAAAAATGAAGAGTTACATGTCATGAGCCACAAAAAATGTCATCCATAATATTTTACAATACTCATGTATTATACACAATTCAACACATCATTAGTTTGATGGTTATAGAATACATCAAAGGTCGTGAAAAATAAAGAGTCACACATTATGGACAATGAGAAAGATCATCTATAATTCAAATGGAAGATCATCCATAATATTTTACAACACTCCCCCTCAGATATATTTTACAACTCAACACATCATTAGTGTGATGGTTATAAAAGACATCAAAGGTTGTAAAAAACAAAGAGTCACATGTTATTAATCATGAGAAAGGTCATCCACAATATTTTATAACAAAAATAAATTGTTTAGCACTGATATATTTTAACAGAGAATTTCATCTGCACATCAATAAATATGAAATTTTCTATTGCACTTTCGTAATTTTATGGATAATAATACCTAAAAAGATTTTTGTATTGTTAATAGTTGAAGAAAATCAATGATTTTACTTTCAAATATATAGCACACTAAGAGCAATTATTTAATACTGGTATGAAAATTACTTTTCCATTGTTACTTCTAGTTTTCCACTAGAATTGTTATATTCCGTTATGATTCATGATGAGAAAAAATTTATTTGATGATATCATTTACTAATGAATTTAATAAATATAGTAACTAATTTTTCTCTTATATTAAAATTTTGTTTACATTTTTAGTTGTATAAAATATGTTAAGAATGTGTTAAATATTTATTTGTTAAAATATTTTTTGATGTATTAAATATAATACAAAAAATTATGAAATTATAATTTTAGATGACCTACAAACTAGCCTTAATCCATAAAGCTTTTGGTCCATGCAAGACTTTATTATAAAGGTTTATTTAACCCTAACCCATACAAGGTAGAACCTAATACGATGGACTGACCTGTTACCACGAGTTTGGTGATATGTTAAATTAAACTAGGAATCACAAATCATACTTGCATCAATCTCAATTATATTCCAGGCCCAAATCTACTATAGTTCTTTTTCCGTGGAAAATTTCTAGTCTTCAATGCATTGGTCAAATCTGTCCAAAATTGGAATAACAGCTGCCATTTGATGGTGAGAGACGAACTGTAAAGGAAGAAACGAAGCTACATTTTAAGGAAGACATGCTTCGGACAACATAATCATAACCCAGGAAATAATCCATACCATGAGGAATAAGAAAGGGTGGATGGCCATCAAGGTGGATCTGGAGAAAGCGTATGATAGAATTGGATGGGATTTTCTGCAGGATACACTTCTTACCTCAGGGTTACCAGAATCTCTGATTCAGCTCATTATGGCTTGTGTTTCCTCTTCTGTCATGAACCTGCTTTGGAATGGGACACAGACTGAGGAGTTCAGACCATCCAGAGGAATTAGGCAGGGGGATCCCCTCTCCCCATACCTATTTGTCCTCTGTATCGAAAGATTAGGGCACATTATCTCATTAGCAGTAAATCAAAAGAAATGGAGTCTTGTGTCTCTTCTTTGCAGATGATCTATTCCTCTTCGCAGAAGCTTCCCTTAGCCAAGCTGGGATGATTAATAGCATCCTAGGTCACTTCTGTGCAGCCTCTGGATAGAAGGTTAGCCAAAGCAAGACCCGCGTGTTCTTCTCTAAGAACGTGAACCATGTCAGAAGAGGTGAAATCTGCCAAGAGTTGAATTTCCTTCCTACCCCGGATCTGGGAAAATACCTTGGAGTACCTATTCTCCACAGGAGGGTTAACAAAAGCACGTATAGATATATCTTGGACAAGACCAATGCCAAAATGAGTGCTTGAAAAGAGAAATCTCTGCCATGGCTGGGAGAGTTGTTCTCACCAAAGCAGTTCTCTCTTCCCTCCCCACTTACTCGATGCAAACTTCGTTGATACCGCTTGGTACCTGTGATGCGGTGGAGCAGAAAATGAGATCTTTCGTTTGGGGATCAAGCCAAGGCAATAGGAAGGTCCATGCTCTTTCTGGAATGAAAAATGGTTGTCAATAGGCCCTTTGAGACTCTATGTTGTCAATCCAATTCCTGATGATCAAGCTGATGCTACTGTGAGTCATATGGTGAGCCATGATGGGGATTGGAATTGGTCGAGCTTCTGCAATAACTTATCTCCAGAAGCCTTAAGCCACATTATGAATACTTGCCCTCCTCATCCTGAGAATGGGGAAGACAGAGTTATTTGGGCATGCACACAGGATGGTAAGTTTTCTACAGCTTCTGCCTTCGGTAGTTTACATGCTGAGGGACCTTTGTTAGCTCAACCAAACTGGAGTGCAGTATGGAATTGGGAGGGACCTCCCAGAATACAAAACTTCTTGTGGATGCCGCTTAGTGAGTGCCTGCTAACGAACCAGAGACAAAAATTTAGACACATGGCAGATTCAGACTTATGCCCCAGGTGTGGCTCTTGGCCGGAGGATAGTCTCCATGCGATGAGGGACTGCGGATGGGTGCAATCAATCTGGGAAAAATTTATTAAACCAAACAGGTTGCCTAGCTTTAATAATCTGCATTTACAGGATTGGGTGAGCCTGAATTTACATCCAAAGAACAACTTGCTGGAGTGTGGCACAGGTAACCTGATGTTTGGTATTATCTGTTGGTATTGTTTGGAGAGAAAGGAATTTACTGGTTTTTGAGAACAGGAGCAGCAGTCATGAGGAAGTGGCGAGAGCTGCGTCTGTGTTTAGCATGAACTTCTTGGATGCAAAAAACACTTATATGAAGGCTGGGCTGTTGGAGAAACAGAAGGTTGAGGCTCTCATCAGGTGGTCCCATCCTTCCCCTGGCTGGACAAAAATGAACACTGATGGTTCTGCATTGAGCCATAGTAGGAAGAGTGGCTGTGGGGGAGTGCTTCGTGATGATGCTGGACGATGGATCCTAGGATTTTGCAAGAATTTGGGAGACGGCAGCTCTGTCAAGGCTGAGTTCTATGGTGGCCATAAAGCTGGTAGAAGAAGGTTGTTCTCCTAATCATCCATTAGCTAGCCTGGTGAACAGAGTCCAAGGGGTTCTTAATCGAAATTGGCAGGTAGTCCTATCTCATGTCTATCGGGAAGGCAACAGCATAGCCGACTGGCTTGCAAATTCTGCTCATGGCTTTGGCTGGGACACTCAAGTCTTCTCCTCTCCTCCTGGAGGTTGCTTGGAGCTGCTGAGTCGAGACAATAGGGGCATCGTGTGGCCCAAAATTGTTACCAAGTTGTAGTTTTTAGTTTACTGTTATTTCACTTATTTTCCAAAAAAAAAAAAAAACGAAGCTACATTTTTTTAATATATATATATATATATATATATATATATAAGGTTTATCATCTATCATTTAACATGACCACAAAAATTTTCCTACACACACAACATTTTGTGGGGCCCACAGCAAAAAAAAAACAAAAAAACTCTGGCACGCAAAACGAATCTCTATAACATAACACAATCATTTTTCCTACAACATAACTCTTATAAAACCCATATATATATATATATATATATATATATATATATATATATATATAGTTTCAATAATTATTTTAAAAGTATACAAAAAATATTTTATTTATAAATTAACTTATTTCATTGAATATAAAATAATACAAAACTTGATATTAATTCATTAAGTTTAGAATAAATTGAGTTTTCAGTTAAACACAACAGAGGCAGTTATACTTAGTACTGAAAAATTTTACAACTATTACTACTAAATTAATTACTGTTGATTTTTGCCAATTTAACGATTATAATTTATTGGATATATTTATTAATTAATTATTAATTCCTAATAAATTAACTGTTAGATTAGCAAAAATTAACTATAATTAACTTAATAATAAGAGATAAAATATTTCAATAGTAAATATAACCTCTCCCCAAAAAGACATCTCCACTTTTACACCTCATCAATACTAAAAGTTTGTCTGCTTCTCAAGGCATGCATGTGAACACATTCACTGTGGGGTGAAAGAGAGAGAGAGAGAATTGAGCCACCTTACAATAAGCTTTTTGATCCATTTCAAGAGCATATAGACGGTTCTCGAGTCTGATCAAAGGCCATTTAGGTACAAGTTTACATAATTTTCCTAACGAATTTGAAAAGCTTCTATATATTAACTATCCCACTTTCTCGCTACTATACAGATGCAAAGTTAGAGATAGAAAGAAAACTACAAAATACGAAGTCAAGAAACACATTTTAGCATAACAAGAATGCAATTTTCATCGTGAACCGCTTTAAATGTCATCTTCACATGATGTTCGCTTAGCCTTGTCCTTTTTCCCAATAGGAAGTCCTTTACTTCTTCAGACACAGCTTCCCATTGAACGCTTTCAATGACTCATATAACAGGGGACCACTGTAATGGTGCTGGCCAAAATCAACCGCTCCGGTTTCCCATATTATAACCAGGAGTTGAAATGTAATTTGTGTCCATGACCATGTCACCCTCCAGTATTCGGAGAACCTTTGAACAAACAATCACACGTATACCATCATGGTCAGGTGGGGAAACCAAAAATGGTGTCAAAGATCTAAAGCGTTAGTGTTCAGCATAATATATTATAAGTCATTGCTATTCTCAGATGTTACATGATAAACCATTAAGAGTTTTTGATTGATTTCATAAAAGGGGAAGTGAACCAATTTCAGGAATCAAATTTAGGCAAGACACTGATTGAGAAATGAGTTTATAGCACATTAGGAATCACTATATAAGCCTTCTGATCTCGAGGGACATGTTCTAATCCTTTTGAACAAGATACCCAGCTAACCTTTTCCAATTGATCTAAAGGATTATAAATAACTGTTTAAATCTAGTTCTACGAAATATTTAATTGTAACTTATTCAAGTAATACTTGAAAAAAAAAAAAAAAAATCTGTTAAATTTTTTTCCTTACCTGTGACATGCGTGGTCTAGAATAAGGATCTCTCCTTATGCATAATGATGCAGCATGTAGCATGCAAGAGACCTCATGTTCTGAATAGTGACTTCCCAACCTTGGATCAATAAGTTCCTCAATGGCATAACCTTCCAAAAGTGGCCGTGCCTGTTTAATATCCAAATGCTAGCACGATTATTCAAGGTAAGGCATGAACAACGAAAGAAACTTATGGTACTCCATTTATCTATTGGAGTGTCATGTTACTCATTAATGATATTTTAACTCTTGAAATGATGCCAATAGCAGACATTTAAAAATTATAATAAATAGATATTAATATCATTTAACTTACCCACTCAGTAAGACACTGTTGTCCCTTGGGCCTATTGAGATCAACAGCTTTTCGCCCTGTAACAAGCTCCACTAATACCACCCCAAAGGAATAAACATCAGCCTTTTCAGTTACTTGGCCGCTTTGAGCATATTCAGGAGCCAAATACCTACATAGCACCAACATAGCTTTGTTGCATTGTTACTATTGCACAGGCTAGATAGACAATGAAACTAATTGCAGAGTAATACAACATGTACCCAAATGTTCCAATTACTCTAGTTTCCACTCCTGTGTCTCCATCAGGCTGCCACCTTGCCAGTCCAAAATCACCAACCTTGCAAAATTCAACACAATTACTTAATGAACTGAAAACATAAAATAAATAAATAAAATAGACAGATAAATGTTATTATGCCTTTCATTTGTAAACTATAATGCATAGCACAAAGCTGGCAAAGTAAAACCCTACCAGTGGTTCAAAATCATGAGTGATAAGAATGTTGTTTGGCCGCATGTCACGGTGGATAATGCAACCAACTCTGCACTCTTCATGAAGATATCGCAACCCTCGAGCAGCTCCAACAGCAATTTTTTGCCGTGCAGACCATTCTAACGGTTCCCGTTGTCTCCCTGAAAGACTTCCAAGTATTTTGTCAGTTTACAAATTACAATCAAGACATTATCATTAACATGTATCCTATATCATATTGCTAACTATGTATTTAACATGAAAATATCATGATGTATACTTATTCTGCATGACTGTAGCCTTCAAGACAAGAAAAATCCTACTCCATCCCAGGGTTTAGTTGGCATGTGGGTGGACTTATGGATTAAATAATCTCAAAAATATAAAGACTAGCATTTCAAATTACGTAACTAAGTCCTATCTAATAGTCTAAGGGCAAGGATCTCATTAGCTTTACAAAAATGGATTTACTATATCCCATTAATTTCCCAAATATTTAAGTACACTTTAACCTTCAACTATCAAGTAACATATATGAACTTCGAATTTTATGGACTACATAATATTGCATATTGAATGACTTCAGGAAGTTCAAGCTAATTCAAAAACATAACTCTGTCATGACAAAATTTGGTCTGGAAACAAAAGAAATTACCATATAAATGAGAATCCAATGATCCATTACATATGTACTCATAAACCAGTAGCCTTCTCTTATCCTCAATACAGAATCCAATCAACATAACAACATTTCGGTGCTGAGCACAGCTCAGGACTTCTACCTCTGAGCAAAACTCAAGATCACCCTGAGAACTAGCCAATTTATGTTGCTTGACAGCAATGACTTGTTCATCTGGTAGAACCCCTCTGTGAACAGATCCAAATCCTCCTTCGGCCAAGAAATTGGCTTGTGAAAATCCACCAGTTGCAAGCTCCAACTCAGCATAGCTGAACCATCTTGGAGGTTTTCCAAAAATAGGAGCCTTGTGTTGACATATTGAACATAACGGAGGTGGACCAGGTGGAGCATTTCTAGATAATGCTATTGCTTCTCTTACCTTTCCATTGAAATCCAAGTCTGTCCTGCAGGTTGAAATCTCAATTTCAGCTTCTCTATCAAGCCTTGAGAACTTTTCCATCAAAGCTCTAGTTGTAGACAATTGAAGCCCATTATGAGATCTTTCTGATCTTTCTTCTCTAAGTTGAGATGATTGTTGATGTAAAAGTAAATTTGTGATCCACGGCTGGAATCTCAAGCTTGCTGAAGATGTGGGCAAACTTTCACTGTCTGTGTCTGAAATAGTACCATCAAGTTCTTGATTTTCTTTGATAGTTTCCTCTTTCTTTGACTCAGCATTCATCTCAGGGATAAAAAATGGTGAAGTTCCTGGATCAGAGCTGGAAACTGATGAAGTACCAGCTTCAGTTGCAGTAAACGGTGTCTCTAACTCGGGGCTGCTAGTTGGAGTGACAACTGGTCCTTTTATGGTATTTAAAGAATCATTCTTCCTGGTTTGTTTTGCAGACATCTTATCTTGCTCAGAAGGCAATGGACATACTTCTCCTAGATCCTTCTTTTGTGATCCAATCAAATTCAAGCGGAGTACTTTGGGTTGGGAACGCTTCATAACCACAATGTTGCACTGCAGCTCTTCCATGCATTGTTTTTCCTCGTGTTTGAGCTGTCTGTAAAGAAAGCAACACAAAATACCAATAAAACAAACTGAATCATGATCTCAGATCAATAAAGTAGGGAACCAGAGATTGACAATTCATCAATTTTGTTTCATGTTACAATAGAATGCCTTTCTCTGGAGGAAAATAAGAGAGTATTACTTGTCTAATACGACCCAATTGGCTTGGGCCTTCTTGGCTTCTGCAGCCACTGCTCCAGAAGTTGATCCAGAAACAATTTTAATCTTGACATTTATCTGTTGAAAAATAGTTAGCATATCGAAACAAACACAACATCCACTATGAACCTTTCATACATCAAGGCTATTAACCTTATTGGGATCATAGACATCATGGAGCTGAAGGATCATTTGAGAGCAAGAATCAGTGATATCACTCTTTTGTTCTGAACTTGTTCCTGGAGTAGACTTCTTGTGACCACTGGCACAGTCACCAGAAAACCTCGGAAATCCCCATAATCTGCGGCCTATATATGTGCAGAACAACAGTCAGGTACAAAAAATAAACAATGGTGAAGATTCAAATGCCCAATCAAAGACAATAACAAAGTCCGGAGTCTGTCATGCACATCTAGACAACAAACTGAAATGGAAGGCAGGTATAATTGATAGCAACAATACAAAACTATACTCTTCCAGAACCAACAAAGTAAGGACAAACCATGCACGCAGTGCTATTACATGTCATCCTGCAATCTATTTGTTCAGAGTACTAAACTAAAAACAATCCCTATGATAAAAGGAACGACACACGGGATAGATCCAACAGATTTAGTACTTTTAAAAAACAGAAGCATCAAAATGGCCATGCGCCAATAAATAATATTTGACAACAAGAGAAGCACAGAAAAAAAAACAAATGCAGGAAAAAGAGGGATTACCTGAACTTTGTGACGGTACAACCACTAGCAGTGTAATGCAATCCCCAGGTTGAACAACATGAGTCAGAGACCAAACAAGAGCAGTCTTTGGAATTTCCTTTGATGCCTTGACCGCAACAATAACCTTTTCAGCACCATCAGAACCTTTTTCTTGCTTCCCTCGCTTCTGCTGTTCTCGACTCATTGGCGCCAACAATCCCTCAAAAATTGCCTTGCTCAACAGATATCACTCAATAACCATGAAAACCATATGTTCCTATATACAAAACAAAAGGGGGAGAAAAGCAAAAACATGTTCAAAATCACTAGTTTTCTCTGACCTGGTCAAGCACCAGTAGAATTATAACCAACATGCAACATTCCACCAAGCAATAACAGAGCAACCACTGACAAGACTCTTTTTACCAAATTCAAACCTTTGCTACAGAATCACGAGTAAACCCGTTTTTTAACTTTCTCAAGAACTTGCTTTTCAGTCACCAACAAGATGGATTCTGCAAGTACGTTCCCTAAATAGTATCAAATCCGTGAAGAATCAGATATCATTCTGGCTCAGAAAGCAAGACATTGCATTGCCCCAGCTCACAAAATAATATGCGTCTCAAGTTTCTGAAATTGAACAAGATTAAAAGCACTGCTCACTGCATAACATGAGATGTAAAATCATTGAACCAAAGGATAGGCCTTCAAGTCTATGACAATAGCTGTGCTTTTGAGCCTTCAAATCACCCTCTAAGTCAAAATATTTGTCTCCAACCAGTTGGCTTTACTTTAGATAAGACTTTAGAGGAACCCTCTGCCAAAGATTCCACTACAGAAATAGTAACATGTCCTTCAAATTTCAGGCGTTCCAAAAACCACTGATATGACTAAAGATTGAGGTCGTTTAGCTCTCTGTCATTATCAATTCTTATCCTGCACATTCCCAGATTGAAATTAAATCAAAAAATGGAACATAATAATAATGCAAAGTATAACAAGTGTCTAAAAAAGAAGAAATGGATAACGATGTGAGACATACACATAACTAAGCATTGGCAACCACCTTTTTGTTGGTTAAGAAGATTAACAACATCATTGACGACTAGAAAACAAGAAGAGGGAAGCCCGGACTAAGATCCAAACCTTTCTTTTTCTCTATTATTATGTTGTTTCTAGACATTGAACATCCAGCAAAAAATAAAAATAAAACAACAACAACAACAACAAATAAAGATAACATACACTTTTCTGTTTATCATTATTAATTCCATCACAATCTCGAAGATTTCAGCGAAAACCGGCAAGAGCTAGCCTCAAAACGGTTCCTTACCAAGAAAACAATAATATTAATAAAAAAAAAATAACACGAAATGAAACCCATCAGCAGCAAAACCTAACTAAATCAAACGATGTCATCACAACCGAACAATGTGGCCAAACGCATGAAAACGAAGACCCACCACAATGAGCCCAAACAACAAATTTTCAGAAACGAAAAGGATAACGAGTTGTGACCCTTTTCTTATGGTTCAAAAAAACTTGCAAAAGCTAAAAGCTTTGAGATAAACGTCTCTTGCTTACTTTAGGTGCTGCACTTTCTCTTCCAACATCATTTGGATAGTACCAGCATGGCACAGAATGAAAGGAAAAGAAAATATGACAGCCAAGCACAAAGGAATGGACCACCAAAAAAATGAAACAAAAGTTGGGGATTTTGCTCAAAGAGAAAGGTTGAGTGAGAAATCAGTGAGTACAAAAATGGTTTTGCTTAATGGAAGAAGAGTTAAGCTTTGTTGTGAATAGCGTGCTAGTCACCAATGGAGACAGACACATAGTGAGGAGAAAACATTGTGTTATTAAATATTTAAAAAAAATTGCAAATTTTTCATTTATAAAACTCAGTCATGTTCTCATTTGATTTGATGTACAAGGTTAATTGTGTTGTGTGAACGTGAAATGCACACACATAACATTAATTGTGTTTGGAAAATATATCTAATATTCTTTAGATAATTTTGTGTAATATTGATTGAAACCATGTGTTTTTTTATTAAAAATTAAAAAATTATAATAATAAATAGGTTTTAATATTTCTACCGTGAACGTAGACAACTTATCTACATTCGCTATTAAAACTATGTCATTTTAGTTGAAAAATTAAAAAATTATAATGAAAAAGACTATTATAATCGTATAATAAATTATAATTACAAAAATACCTTGAATTCTGCCTCAAAACGACGTCATTTTGGGCTCAATATAGATAAGTTATCTACCTTGACGGTAGAAAAAGCGAACCCTAATAAAAATATTATAATTTTGAAATAAATTTAAATTACAAATGCACTATGATTTTCGTCCCAAAATAATATTATTTCGGTGAACATTAGTCAAAGTTATCTAAAATAATTTTAAAAAAAACGAACTCAATTTTTTATGGTAAAATATTTCTCCGATCACGGGATATAAATTAATTTCTCAAAATTATGTCATTTTGAATAATGAAGAGTATTTTTGTAATTTTATTTATTTTTTTATCATATAAATATTACTGAAACATTCTTCATTAATTTCTCTAAAAGGACATAAACATTTTTCGTTAATTTAAAATGATGTAGTTTTGAGGACTGAAAAAATATTTTATCATTTTTTATTTATTATATGAATTTTTTAAGTAGAGTATTATTTTAAAAAATAAAAGATAATAAAGTAATTATTTGTACTATTAAAAATTAAACAAAGACACTGTAAATCTTTCTTTTGTTTCAACTTTTTTATCCTGGCGAGAGATGGAAAGACATACGTAAAATTACTGTTGTTGATTTACCAAATCTCCCCCTTTGATGATCTAATCTATGAATAATTAGCACGCACGTAAATGCCACGACTCATTGTGGGGTCAATGGGTCATGATGGGTTGTGAATCGTGCATGCACTTCATGTTTGGTGGCCACTTTCTAACTAATATTCTGCAATCCTTCTTATAAATATGCATAGAGAAAAAAAAAAAAAAAGGTATGTAACGGTAGTTTAAATAATTTTATTTAATGTTAATCGAAATGATGTCATTTTAATATTAAAAAATTAAAAATTTAGAATGATGAAAATTATTATAACTCTGAAATAAATTAAGTTATAAATACACCGTGATTTTTGTCTTAAAATAATATTATTTTGATAAATATTAGACAAAATTATCTAAAATAATTTTAAAAAACAAACTCATATACATATAAGTTATCACTTGGAAATTTCAAATATGGTGTTGTAGCCTTCATTTTTCAATATTATAGCAAATAGTTTCATTATTTGCTAACTCAACTAATATGGTGTGGAGGGAAATAAATTCCGCACCCCAACTACTTGCATCGATCAAAAGAAAATACTTAGGTAGTGTTTGGTTGAAGGTTTATTTTAGGATTGATGGGAAAGTGTAGCTGGATATTGGAAAATACCACGTTTGGTTCAGGTTTTTTCAAGAAATACCAGACAAATAGGATAGATGGGAAAATGACATTTGTGTTGATTTTTGGATGAAATTCACTGTTACAGAATATCACTTGAGATGTGGTATTGTGAGATGACTGAGGAAGTGAAAAACAGGTGCAAAGTTTCTCCCGAACATAGATTTTGCATATTTAAATAAATTTCTCTGGTAATATTTGGGTCAACCAAACAACTTTTTTTACATTTTCCTATCAAACTCACTTTCTAACCATTTTTCTATCAATTACATTTTCCTACTAAAAAAAAATTCTCCCGAACCAAACACTACCTTATTCAACAAACTTAGAAGATGGTATTGTGAATTCTCTATGTAAATGAAGAAGGAGATTTGAATTTTGTGTCAAAAATAGCCTTGAGTAAATTTGTAATTTAACTCTATTTTTCCGACAATATTAAAACTCTTACCAAAGACGGGGTTATATTTGTAATATAACTTTATTTTTTCAGCAATATTTTACCTTCAATCAAACACAGAATCAAAAAACTTAAACTAATTTTCTCAATAATATTTCGACTTACTAAATAATTTTTTTTTAACTTTTTTAGAAAACTCACTTTCTCATCATTTCTTTAGTAATTGTATTTCCCTGCTAAAAACAATTTTTTCCTCTACCAAACGTGCCCAAATCAATTGTTTCAATTTTGAACTCGGGCAGTGGAAACAAAAGTTAAGATGATAGTAATAAAATCTGATAGCATTTATTACTGCAATGTACCATTGCCGAGTGTAAAAATGCAGCTTTATGCAGAAATACAAGACAATCCCATGATGGTAAATTGCATAATAATCTTGTCCTTTTTATCACTAATCCCCCCAATCCAAATTCAACTTTTTGAACTTTGCCATAAATAATAAAAGCCACTGCAGTGAAACTTTAATAAAACGTACTGTCACGTCAACTTAGCATTCAACACACGATAGTTGATATATATCTCTCTCTGTCCAAGCCAAAACAAGCACAGTTCAGAATCAGTAGTTTGTGTTTGTGGTACCACACAAGTCTGTCTACAAGCGACCAACTCGCCGTTACCTATCGCGTCCAAATAAATTTGCGTGTTCCCAGAGCGTCACTGTAACTCAAACGCACTCTATACATCATAAACAATAATTTTGTTTAAATATTTAATTAAAAATAAAATGGGCGAGATTAAATTCAAATCAATTGTTCATATTTGATATCATTTTATAATTATTAATTCAATTTTTATTCAGATTATAAGACATTATAAAGAAAAAAAGATTGTCAATGTAATTTTTATTAATATATGGAAAAAATATTTTTTTTAGCACAAAAAATAAAATTATTTCTTACAATCTCAAAATAAAGTTGTTCCAAAGTTTAGAAAAAAGTTGAGGTAATTTAAAAAAATTTATTTTTCTTTTTATATTATGGATTTTACTTATATCTAACATTTTTTTTCTCAAATCACAAAACGATATCATCTTGGATTGCAAGAGATATGTTAATATTTTAAAATATACTTTTTTTATTAAATTAAAAAAAATATTAAATATTATTATAAATTAGTTTTAAGATAAAAATTATAATACATAATACATCCCCTTAAATTTATTTTTGATCAAAATTTATTTCGGATTGGACTATTAACCCCACTTAAACCCAATACCCAATTGGCCATTTTACACTACAAGATAAATAAGCTACTTTTAATAAATATCTTCAATATCATGTCAGATAATAATTTTTCAA